TACTCCACCTCATTCAGCAGGTATCCCTCCTCCAGGAGCCTCATTCAGCAGGTATCCCTCCTCCAGGAGCCTCATTCAGCAGGTATCCCTCCTCCAGAACCCCCCTCACCCACCACAGAGCTTTGTACCAGGATCCACCTACGTCATCTCACCCAGTAGGTATTCCTCTGCCAGGAGACATGGTTTCTTCCTCTGCTCCTTTCTAGCATGGAGATTCTCACAACAAATTTTTTGATGGCCTCAGAGTGCGGCCACCAACTCTTGCAGGTGGCCACTCTGACAATTTTTCCTAAAATACTTAAGTAACTTTAGGAAAAACAAATAAACATGCACATATACATATCCAAATCATTGCCATTTATTCATGGAAGGTTTTTTGTTGTTGCAAACTCAATAATAAAAATAACTTCTCTATTCTTTACTGGACCTACACAGAATAGAAACACAAATAAGGTGCTTTTCATGTTCTTGTCTTTTGTTGTTGTTTCTTTTGCCTTTTTTGGTTGCTTTTTTAAATTAGACTTCTAGCTAGTAAGTCTGCTGCTGTGAAAAGTGATATTTGTGTGTTATATCACTTTTTACAGAAGCAGACTTGCTAGCTAGCTGGGAGGCACTGAAAAGTGATATTAACAAACATACAAATATCACTTTCCAGAGCAGATTTACTCAACCCCAGCAAGCTGGATGACAAATTAAGCCCTGGATGGGGAGGTGGGTAGGGAGGCAGTAGGGGCCAGGGACAATGGAGGCCAGGGCCAGCACTCACTGCCGCGCAACTGGAGCCTGAAGCCCCACAGCCGGAGCCTGAAACCCGCCACTCCAGGGCTGAAGCCAGATGTGCGAACCCCATTGCCCCCAGGAAGGTGGGGAAGTCACACCGTCTGCCCGCTCCTCCGCTGTTTGTGAAATTGTGGCTTCAGAGGGGCCAGGGCCGAACCCCTGCTGGCAGCCCTGGGGGAGGAGCTGCTGCTGCTGCTGCTTCCTCCCTGTCCCCCCCATCATCGCCCAGAAGGTTTTGGCTGCAAGAAAAGTCCCTGGTGGCTGCATTTGAGAAACGCTGTTCTAGCAGGAGCCACCAGCCACTGTCCACAACATGTATCCCTCCACCAAGAGCCACACAATCCCTGCTTCCCCTCTCCCACTTTATATCTGCTGCCAGAAGCCACATAACCCCTTCACTCATTAGTATCTTTCTACCATAAACAACTACAGCCCTTATGCACTGTGCGTTCCTTTGGCAGCAAGCAACCCCATGATACCCACGCCCTCTGCTTAGCCTTTCCCAGGAACATAAAGACCCCGCTTCATCAGGGACACTGAATCCCTCCACAGGGAGCAACGCACACCCCGTAACTACCTCCCCTCAGAGTCACTAAGATCCTGCACCCAACAGGTGTTACCAACTGGACCCAAGGGGCCCATAGCTACTATGTAACCCTTCATCAAGGAGTAGAGGGCTGGCCAGGGCCCGGGGCCTTGAGACCATTAGCAAACACATTCAGAGTGGGTAAAGGGGACCTGGGGACAGATGAGGAATGTGCGTCAGGGGGCTGCTGGTTGATGGGGGCTCTATGATGGAATCCCATTGTGGGTGATGGCTTTTGGGGGGCTCCCGGCGCATGGATATACACTGGATGGGTCAGGAAGCCTTGAAGTTCGTTCTAGAAGCCTCTGGCGGAGGGATACCTGGGGTTAAGCAGTTTCTCGCCTTGCCTCTTTCGGCGGGCCAAGCCGCGGGGACAGGCGCGCTGCCGCGGCCCATTCATGTTTGAGGAGCCCTCTGGGCCTGTCTCCGCTTAGCTGTGGGCCGACCATCCCCCACTCAGCGTTGCCGTGGGGACGGGACGCCGGGCTCCGCCCAGAGGTGAAGAGAGGCGGTGTAAGAGATCCTGGGGTAGCCGCCGCCCGCCCGCCATGGAGTCGAGCAAGGGTGAGCGAGCCCGGAGAGGAAGAGCCGGGACAACAGTCCGTGGAAGAGGGGACGCTGGGGAGGAGGGCGAAGTAGTGGGGTGGCGGGGGCGCTGGGGAGTGGCGGGGGGGGGGCTGGCAGAGGTGAAGTAGTGGGCTGGCTGGGGGTGCTGGGAAGTCGCGGGGGAGGCTGGCAGAGGCGAAGTAGTGGGATGGCTGGGGTGCTGGGAAGTCGCGGGGGGGGGCTGGCAGAGGTGAAGTAGTGGGCTGGCTGGGGGCGCTGGGGAGTGACGGGGGGTCTGGGGTGCTGGGGAGTGACGGGGAGGGGCTGGCAGAAGTGAAGTAGTGGGATGGCGGGGGTCGCTGGGGAGTGGCGGGGGCGCTGGCAGAGCTGAAGTAGTGGGATGGCTGGGGGTGCTGGGGAGTCGTGGGGGGGCTGGCAGAGCTGAAGTAGTGGGATGGCTGGGGGCGCTGGGGAGTGGCGGGGGGCTGGCAGGAGGTGAAGTAGTGGGATGGCTGGGGGTGCTGGGGAGTCGTGGGGGGGCT